ATGAATGAGAAACATTACCCTATTGTGGATGACAGCCAGGCCTTGAACACAGGTCTTAAAACATATGCTGCATTACTTGTCTATGTTTGTTTTCAGAAGTCATATTTACCTTTCCTAGGCGAGTTTGATTGTCTTCAATGATTGAAAAATATACAATAATGTAACACTTACTATAAGGTTCCTACCAATGAAAATGCTCAAAACTACAGGAAATAGTATCAAAAACTGTGTCTGTGCTAAAGAAATTTAAAAGATGGGAAGCAAACCAAGTCAGAGGATATGTTGCAGTAGAAGTTCCCTCGGAATAGATGTTATAAAACGGTGCGGATTGGGGTCGGGGGATACCTCAGTGTTTAAAAGCTCATCTCACTCTTACAGAGAACCCGAGTTTCACTCCAAGCACACACACTGGGCAGCATACTAAGGCCTCTAAATCTAGATCCAGGGGATCTGACATCTCTGACCACCACGGGCATCTATATTCATGTGCACACACCCACATAAACACACGCACATAAATACATAAATTTAAATTTTTTATTATTTTTATTTTATGTGTATGAGTACATTGCCTGCACGTATTGTAAGTGCACCCGTGTCGTGCAATGTCCATGGAAGTTGGAAGAGGCCATCGGATCCCCTGGAAATGGAGTTATAGTCATTTCTTAGCCACCATACAGGTGTTGGGAATCAAACCCGGGCTCTCTGCAAGAACAGCCAGTGCTGTTAACTGCCAAGCCATCTCTCCAGCTTCTGAAAATACATAATTTTAGAAGAATAAAAACAAAACAAAAACAGTAAGATCTAGTTTGACAAAAAGTCTACACATGAGAACAACTTGAGTTAAAGTATAAAATCAGATCACTATGGATTCTAAGGGCAAAGAATGAGCTGTCTGTGTTCTGAGGAGCAGAGAATTATCAGCTGGGACTAAATCATAGAGGGCATCTGAAAATTAGGCAAGTAATTTCAAATTTTTATGATATTAATATGGAATCATTGGAAACATTTAACAAGGTGGGTGAACCTAAAGTAATCTAGAAAATTCAATCTGTCTTGTGTCCAAGACAGTTCTGAGCCGAGAGATTATGGGGACAGGTAAGATCTGACATACGAGTTAGAGAAATCCTAGAGCTAAGGCAACACAAAACCAAACGCGCAGCAGAAAAGTGTCTATACAGAAGTCAGAGGAGAAAAGCTCTGGTCTGAGAATGTCCAGGATTTGCCCAGGATAACGGAAGAGGCATTCCGGTTATGCAGAGAGAAACCAGAGCTGGAGGACTGGGGAAGATAATTGATCTTTTCCCCCACACAACTGTGTGTGCAGAAGACACAGAGGCCCAAGACAGAGCAATAGCACCGGGAGAGGGCAGGGCTGCTGGACCTTCATGGGACCCAAGAAGGAAAAGATCTTACCAGAAGCCCCAAGAGTGCTGTTCTAGGGAAAAGCGCAGAGTAAACAAACGGAGAGAAAGCAAGCAGGACAGGACAAAGATGTGTAGGTCACAGATGGAAAAGGCAAAATAATACAAGCAATTTCGCTAAACAAAAGGGAAGGAGAGGTAAAGGTCACTGCACATGTTTGTGCAAATGCAGGTGTGTAGCCCATGAATGGGCATGTCTGTGGTTAGGGGAGCTGAGAGCCCACATTCTTCAGAAGTGCACATTATAATCCAATTGTGACAGTGAATATCAACTGTCAGCTGGAGATTTGGAATCACCCAGGAGATGGGCCTCTGGACATGTCTGTGGGGAATTACCTTGATTAGATTGAGGTGGGAGGATTTGTTCAACATTTGGTCCCATTACGTGGGCTGGGATCCTGGACAGCACTGAAAAGGAGAAGGTGAGTTGAGCCAGAGCATTCAACATTCTCTGCTTCTCAGCTGCAAATATGATGTGACCAGCTGCCTCGGGGTCTTGATACCATGACTTCCCTGCCACGATGCAGATGCACTATACCTTGGAACCATAAGCCCAAATAAATCCTTACTTCATTAAGTTACTTTCGTCAAGGTATTTTTAATCATAGCAACAGAAGAAACTAAAACAGCAGGAATTTTTCTCTGAATTTTGCAAGTAATTTTGCCCATACTTTTCCCTAATAGCTTCACTATTTCTGTCTTGCAAAATATGATTTTTCACTTATTACTGTTTACTTTTAATGTATAAGTAGCATAGTGGATTAAAGAAATGTATTGCAAAATACTTTGGATTTCCAAGTGGGTTCTATGGACCCAGAATCCTGTCATCTATCACACAGGCTCTTTTCTGTCCTCGCCTTTCCAGAGTTCCATAAGATGGGGTCAAACCTGACAGATGGCAGTGCCCAGCCCTCTCCTTCCTAGGACAGCTCTCAATTTCTGGCAAATGACTGTAGGTGCAATGTACGCCTCCCTTGAGAACATATAAACCTCATTGGACTATGATCCACCTTGTTTGAAGCTGTGTATCACAACTGTGGTTACAAACTCAAATTCCTCATTTTTTTGTGTAGGGCCTGAGTTCCTGCAGAGACTAAGAGCCCTTTTAGGCAAGCGTGGGATTGTGGTCACAGTGCTTTGCCAAGTTTTTTTTCCCATAATAGGTATACAGTGAATACTCAGAAAACCACAAAGGTTTTAGGAGATAACTATGAAACATTTTTTGCATCTGGAACTCACTACGTAGACCAGGCTGGCCTCGCTCTCACCTCCTGAATGCTGAGACTAATGGTGTGTACTACTATGCCCAGCTATAATTATAAAATTTGACTCAAATGGAGGGTCTGTGGGATGGCTCAGAGGGTGGAGGTGCTTGCCACCAAGCCTGAGAATTGATTCCTACAAGTTGTCCTCTGACTTTCTGACTTCAGTATGCATGCATGCCACGGTGCATGTGCGTGCATGCGCGTGCACACACACACACACACACACACACACTGTTACTTTAAACCAATTGATCAGTAATCAAATGCAAAGAGAGATAAGTTGAAAAGGTGTTACACTGAAAGCATGACGAAAGTACTCATGGAAAGGAGGAAGGAAGAAGTAGGGAGGGAGGAAGGGAAGAGGGAGGAGGAGAGGGAGAGAAGGAGCGATTTAGAGGGCGGATGACATATTTGGGGGTTGTGGAGTCCTGTGAACCAAAACGGAGAATGAAGCACTAAAAATAACAGGGTTACTGCTTTTCCCTAACCGGGTAGTTTTCCTTCCAATAGTCCTTCCCTAGAAATGAACCCTAATGAGGTAAATTGTGCAAGAAAACAAGGTTTGGGCCTGGGGAGGTTTTCTCTTTATTCCCAGGGGCTCGTCTGTGAACAAAGCCCCTTTTAGAATGAGTGGTTATGAAAACGTTTAATCACTTGTAATTATTAGCACACATCAGAAGTATTTTACATGTTTCCCAATATGCACCAAAGCACAAGGGAGCTGGAGCCCAGCGTCCTCAATGCAGATGTTGCTCAGCTAACATTCTTTCTTCCCCGTTGTTCACAGAACCTAAAGTAAGCTGCAAATTGGGCCGGTCGGCGTCTACATCAGGAGTTCCTCCTCCTTCTGTTGCTCCTCTCAGGCAAGCCAGTGACCTGCAACAGAGCCAGGTACCATCACCATTAGCCAATCCTGATTGAGTTCCTGTGATGCAACATGCCAAATGCTTCCCACCTGTCTGTCCTGTGTTGCTGTAGACAACTTTGCGTTTGCTTTTATTTTTCTCTGTGTGTATGGGTGGGGGGCAGAGTTCCTGCAGTCTGTGTTTTCATCTCTAAGAGAATGTCTTTCTTCCTTGTGACTGGTGAAACTTTCTTTACTGTTTGTTACCAAATCGTTTGTGTCTCTGCTTTCCATCATTCTGTAATATAAATGTAGTAAACATGTACTATATGTACTGGCATAGAGGCTATTTAAAAAAAGTTCTTTCTCTGTTCCATGCTTTGTGTACTTTTATACTGTCTTTAAAAATTTATCAACATTTGATAAATTTATCTACTTTGTTTTATGTAAATTTCTTTATAAATGTTTTGTCCACAATTTACACAGATGTTGTCAATGAATCTGTACATATTTTTGGCTCTTATCCTATTATACTGTAATATTTGTGGCAGCTTACTTTTATTTTTATTTAGCTTTGAGCATGATTGTAAGACAGTGTGAATATTGATGTCCTTATAAATATTCATATAACAACTCATTTGGATCGGATATGGCAGCTAGTATTTCTTCATTCATAGGCCATAGAGACAAATAAACCAACCAGATAATCTGAGTATTTACCAAAAACTGTAGATTAATAAGGCAACTCTTAAATAAATGACTTTTCTCTCTTATACCGACAATATCAGAAATGTTCTCGGAAAAGGGAATGTAAGTGTCTATGCATGACAAATGAGATCTTCATTATCACTTGAGAAAAGAGATAAGAAATAAAGGCATAAGATAAACTATCATTTATTCTTTTACAGTATAATATGTTGCTTTGATGTTCATTTGGGTGCAAGCTGTGAACGGGGAATTTATTATGAGGAAAATCGCTGTACATAAATGTCCTATCTGTAATTCAACCAATAGGAATCCAATGCCTTGACTTTATTCATGAGGTTTGATTGCGTTTGCTGTTAGGAATTGTGGGTGTTAAGTGGAATAATGCCATTCTGGTCCAGTTTATCTGCTCCCCAGTTTTTATAGCTGTATTCAGGACACATGTGAGACAGGACACGTGAAACAGGACACATGTGAAACAGGACACATGTGAAACAGGACACATATAAAACAGGACACATGTGAAACAGGACACGTGAAACGACACATGTAGAACAGGACACGTGAAACAGGACATGTGAAACAGGACACATGTAAGACAGGACACGTGAAACAGGACACATGTGAAACAGGACACGTGAAACAGGACACATGTAGAACAGGACACGTGAAACAGTGAATTCTAAAACTAGTGATGAGACATCCAACAAACTGATTATCAAATTATACATTCATCAATTATTTTAAAAACAGAACTATTCAAGATAATTGTTTTTTGTTTTTTGGTTTTTTTTTTCAGTCTTTTTGAGACAGGGTCTCCCTATAGGCCCAGCTGGCCTGGAACTTACTATGTAGACCAGACTGGCCTTGAACTCACAGAGATAGAGCCCCCTGCCTCCCAAGTGCTTGTATTAAAGGCATGTACCACCATGCCCAGCAATAATTGCAATTTGTAACAAGAAACTGTGTGTTTCTTAATACTTTAGCCTGGTTAAAATATGCATGGTATTTGATTTTTTAAATATATGTGGCATATACAAACAGTTGTTTCTCTCAAGAGCCTCTCATATGTCATTTTGGATTTTTTGTGTCTTAATTTAAACCACTAAAGGCCTTCATAACTAAATGTAGTGATCTTAAATACTTTGGGATATAAAAAGTAGAAGCAGTAAGAAGTTGGATAAGTAAACGAATGAAAAACGCAAACTGTCTTAGATAAAACCTCCATCTTATCTGACTAAAGCTACCCCCCCACCATCACCCCCAAAAAGCCCTGTTAATCAGTATCTAAAGGTTAGTTACATTGGATACACAAAGAAGAGGATTTTAGCCAATCAGCAGAGACATGCATTGCTGCAGTCAGCTTTCCAGTGTGTGATTCTTGCTGTCACATCACCCTGGGTTCTCAGAAAGCTTTCCTGTATGTGTTTTGTTTACCATTGCTCTAATTCCTTTTGGATCTATTTCCCCTGGTCCCTTCAGCTCTCAATGGAAGCAGCTCCTTAGGGTAACTCTGCAGAAGGCAGGACCAGAGCGCCTCACACCTTCATGTTGTCAAGTCTTTCCTTCTCAGGTGTGATGCTCTTCTCTCTTCACGGAAGGTCAGCATGAGAAAGCCCCTCATGCCCTTTGAATACTGTTAGTTTTCTTCCCTAAGACAGAAATTCTGACACTAGCCAGATTATAGATGGTCTTTCAGGGCCGTAGGTTAGAATATGGGTTTTGGGGCTTCCCCTTTATGGTTTTTGAGCAACTATCGTGATGCGCACTCATTCCTGTATCCTGGAGATGAAGGTGTGGGTACAGTGGAAACGGACCTCGCCCTGAATCCTGGTGGCCTAGTACACAGCCAGAGTCAAAGGATGCTTAATGGATGTTTTCTTTTAACTGATGCCAAGGCCTTTGCCTTCACCCTTGACTAAACTGTCTCAATAAGTTACAAACAAAATGACATTGACCTGTGTGAAGAATGCAAGGCAATGGGGAAGACACCTAGCATGGACTCTACTAGTGAATATTCCAGTAGGATCTAGAATGGAGAGCACATGGCATTATCAGTCACCCAGGCCAGTAACAAATCAGTTTTCCAACATGTGGATTTTCAATAGTTATGAAAATGTAGAATTCATACTATGGGAGATAAACAGACCATTGGAGGGGCTCACAACACTGGTGGCTCTTCCAGAGGACTTGGGTTAGGTTTCCAGCACTACGTGCAGCTAACAACTTCCCGTAACACCAGTTCTACCAGATCTCATGTCTTCTGGCTTCTGTGGGCATTGCATGCATGTGGTATACTTACATACACGCATGTAAAACACTCATAAAATATATGAAAACACGCCATTGTAAAGGCATATAGCCTGTTTAAACCAAAACAATGACTAGCCCAGAGGACAGTTTCAGTGATGTTTGTCTACTGTAGAATCTACCAGTAGGAAAGCTGTGTCCTTCCAGCCACACTTGCCCCCCACCCCCGTTCCCCACAGGAGCTACATTTCTCTCCAGGGTGTCCACAGCACATTTCATTCTCCTCTTCTGATTGAGTGTGCTACTTACCACTTCGTGCCACACTCTAAGGTTTCTAAGATGTGTCATTAACGGAGTTAGGTAAAAACCATAAGACATTGCTCCATTGCAGAAGCACAGAGTTGACCATAGCTAACTGATCACCACCGTGAGAGCCAAGGACCAGTCATCACTGGCCAGCATCATGATTTGTGCATAAACAAAGATGACGGTAACATGTGCTTTACTTTGTAGTCTGTTTTCTTTCAGCTGACTGCTGCAGGAACCAGATCTATAGAGATATGCAATCCTTATTTACGTCAATATATTTAAAAAAATGGTAAACTACAGAAAGAAGTCTGAGTGTTAGAAAAATTTAAGTTCTGTTCTGTAGTTTACATTACTGACTAAAACTCAGAGGGCAGTTAGGAGCATTTTCTTGGAATTTTATTGCCAGGCAACCACACAGCTCAACATTAGTCATGCGAAAAATCTTTGGAAAACAGACCTGATTGTGGCGCCTACCATCCAAAAGTTAATCTTGTAGTTATAAATGTGCCTGAAATCTATCCATTGGACTCAGAACACAGGCCATTTTGTCTTTGTTTCCTCTGGGGCAGTCACAGAAAGACACACGGTTAGAAAGACAGACAGCAGTGCTTCTGAGATGGCATGTGAGTGCTTTGTGTTTCCCCACTTCTGACTGAATTCAGGCCTCCTCCTCCTCCTGCCCTTGTATAACTGCTGCTGGGTGGAGTCCTATAGCAGCAACTGAGGAACCAGCCTGATGCTCAGGTCATGTGAAACCAGACTTCATCTACAGAGGAGCACCTAGGCTGCATCTCCACCCAGAGCTGAAGCTTTTCTTGGAAGACTGTTCCCGAGAAACATTTGACTCCAAGTTTCTGTGAAGGAGATGAGAGCCACCTCTTCCCACCAACACACACTATACACAATGCACGTGCTTACTGCACACACTTGTCAACATACTATCCAAATAGCTGGATGTTCCATTGAAGCTTCAATTTCTTTCCAAGGCAAGTGCATTCTTCTCTGATCATCTGTGGCAGGTGCCATAAGGCCATCTGCAGTTTCCTTTGGACAGGTATTTCAAATTCGGATGGATCTCTTAAACACTCTGTACACAGTGCCTTCCTTTCTGTGCCTCCCTGTGCTCCATGCCTGTGGCCTCCCCGACCAGGACAGGACTCATTCTGCCAGGCCCTTTGAAACACCGAAGCTGTCATTTAGGCAAGTATGCCCAGGTTTCTTCAGCTTGCCCCCTTGGGATTATTTATTTGTTGATCATTCATTTTGACAGCTATTTTCTGGCCCCACCACAAGTTCTGAGCATCTCTTTCTGGATGGTACTAAGCATAATGGCTGCTCTAGGACACCAGGTTCTCTTTCCCCAGAGGCTTTGTAGCTCTCTGTGTCTAGTCTGGCCAGCATTCCTGGGCAAGGAAAGAACAAACATGCTAGGGTCTCTCCGGAATTTAACACGTATACAACTTGGATTTCTGGATAAAGCCACAGGCCAAAATTGTTTTCTAGATATTTACTTTTAACATAAATATAATCAATCCAAACCCAGCTTGGAAACAAGATACCAGAGGACTCCAGTGAAGTCACTTGACAGGAAATATGCCTAGCTCCCTCCAGTATCCAGTGCATTGTGGTAGGTCACTGGAGCATCCCTGCTATTACCTTCCTCTGTAAATATTTTCCCCTATATTGTTGGCCTTTTGTTTCTCTCTCATATATGTTTTTGCCTCTGCTGTGTTCTGAATGCCATCAGAGCAGTGAGATGCTTGGCTTGTCCCCAGACTGGCAC